GCTTTCACAAAGACTAATGAAACTAGGCCGCTCCCCCACACTCGCGCCTATAATATATATATATATAATATATAACACGCATATATATATATAATATATATATATATAATAACTTCCCATATCCCATATATCCCTTATTATCTACTTCGATATATATATATATATATATATATATATATATATATACATCACCTAACAATGGCGAACATTAGCCACACTTGCAAGCGGCGAGTGTGGGAGCGGCTAGTTCTTGGCATTCGTTTTATGTGAAGCCAAGTTGATATACAGTGACACAAACAGTGGAAGCTCTAATGAGAGGTAGTATTTGTGAATGCCGCGTATTGAGAGAGAGAGACGCAGAGAGAGAGAGCGAAGAGATGATCGGAGCCTGAGGTAATGCTACACCACATGATTGTTGTGCGGTATTATTCGGAATTCACTTTATGTATCTTACGATTCCATTAATACTACTTTCTTTGTAATTTGCAAAACACGGAAACATTACAGTTCATGTTTTGATGTCCCATCTTAGCATTTCATGATTATTGAATAATGATCTTATGTAGGGCTAGCCTCTAGTAACTGTGTATACGGCCCGCGTACAGTCTGCCCGCAGGCCTGCCACGCAACCTTGTACGCGCGGCTATGAATGTGTTCTCTAGAGCTAATGTAGCGTACTTACTATAGCCCCTCATAGGTCTATGTCCCTCAGTGCGGTTACTGCCGGGAACGTACCCTGGGTAACCGCGTAGCGGTATACGCGAACCTACCCTTCACTAATTATGATAAGGTAAGGTAGGTGTCCATGCGAGATTAGCGGTTATCGAGTTAGGGTTTTAGGCGTTAGGGCTAGGGAAGGCGGTAGGCGACCTCCCTAGGACACACACCACGTTGTGTGCTGTGATGTGTGTGTGTGTGTGTGACCACTGTGTTGTGTGCTGTGTGACATAACTGTGTGCTTGTGTGTGTGCTTGTGTGTGTGTTGTGGTGGTGAGACCGAGGAGAGAAGACGAGCAGAGAAGAAGAGAGAGATGTGTGTTGTGTGTGCCGTGCGTGCTCCGTCGTTGCCGTGTGCGTGTCGCGTGTGCGTAGTGCGTGTCGCGTGCTGCGAGTGTTCGTGAAGAGAGTGTAGGTTTAGTGGAGTGGTGGGTGTGCGTGCGCCTGCGTGGCGTGCGAGTGCCACGTGCGTGTGGGGTGCTGAGTGTGTGGTGGTGTGTGACGAGAGATGAAGCAGAGCTGTGTGTGTGGCGTTACGGCCTAGGATACACACATATCCGCCGATATCTTTTTAGATATTTCAGAAGTTTTCGGGATATTTAGAAAAATCTGGCAATATTTAGAAAAATTCACTTATATTTAAAAGGATAAAACAACAACTTTCTCAAATATTAAGCCGTTTGTAATGGCCATGAGCTTTGTTTCTTATGTCTGCTATACAATTTTTAATTTATATTATATTTTATAAAAGTTTATTAAATATAATTCGTATTGCACGAGTGTTTCGCACCAAAATAAATATGTTTAAAAGGGACACTTACGCTTGAAATAACTGGAGCATATTAGAAAAAAATGTTGGGGATATTTAGAAAAAAAAATGTTGAGATATTTTAGAGATATTTTGGAGATATTCCGGCAAGATATTTAGGCAATTTGTTTCGAGCATATTTGTATCTATAAGGCCTAGTGTGGTGCATGTGTGTCTTGTATGTGCAGCAGGAGTGTCGTGCGTGCGTGCGTCCGCGCGGCGCGTGTGTGATGTGTGAGTTGCGTGGGTCGTGCTGCCGTGTGCGTGTGCGGTCGTGCGGCGCGCGCCTGTGTGGATGTGGGGATGTCCTGTGTGGGGCCTTGTGTGTGTGTGCTGTGTGTGGTACCGTGCTGAGGAGAAAGAGAAGGTTGGGTGGTGAGAGAGAGACGAAGAGAAGGAGCAGAGTGGGTGTCTGGGGGGTGTGTGGTGTGTGTCTGTAGTGCTGTGGTGGGTGTGGCTGTGGTGTGCTGTGTGTGTGTGTGTCGTGAGGTGCTGGTGTGAACTGCTGTGTGTGGTGTGCTGAGCAGGAGAGAGAGAAGAGAGTGTGTGTGTGTCGTGTGTGCGGCGCGATGCGCCTGCGCGTGCGTGCTCTGCGTGCGTGCGTTTGGTGTTGTTTGTTTGTTTGTTTGAGAGTTTGTCGATAGGGTAGTCGGTCCGCGCATATTACGATACGCTACCAGGCGCTACGTATCTGTGTGTATACACTGCTGTGGTACCGTACCAGGTACGCTCCGCAGTAACCCCGGGGACGGACATATGAAAGCTGCGTCGTCTTCAGTGTGTCCTCACGTATAGCTCTCATTGCTTACGTGTATAGCCCGCATTCATTACACTGCCCACAGGCCTCGGCCACGTTAATTGAACGCTGGCTATAAGTACTTGATGGATCAGTCTAAGCTGCGTGCCAACGTGATAGGCCTACTGCTGTGGCGACGTAGTGCGCTGTGCGTCGGGGGTCTGTACGTGGTTCCCAGGTTACCTCCACTTGTGTAGTGTTGGGCGTACGTTAACCCTGGGTACGGTCCGGTATACCGGAACGTACCCCTGGGCTACTAAATCACTAGCTATCTAATATTGCCGCGACCGTACCTCGGCCTACTCCACTAACGAGTCCTAGCAGGTAGTGTCGCGGTACGCCTACTCCTAACCCTAACTCGCTAACTCTAACCCTAACTACTAACGTACCCTACCCTAACTACCCTAAACCATATCAGCTAGATAGTTACCATGGCGTACGTTCCGGTTGTTATACCGGACCGTACCCAGGGTATGCTCCGGCTAGTGTATCTCTCCGAGAGGTGGGGGGACATAGACCCTCTCCATCCGGACTATAGTACTAGAGCTAGGTGTGTCGCCTGCTTGTCGTGAGAGAGATAGAAGAGTGAAGTGTGATGGCTACTACCCAATTTTAGTCAATTGACCATTGTCATTTGCCTAATCTGCTTGCTGTGTGGACTGCATACAACAACATTACATTAACGCACTATGGTGTACATGGCTCATGGGTAGCGTGCGTGTTTACCGTAGTTGTGTGTCATGCTTTCGCTCCGCGTGGCCTATGTGTCGTGTGGTGTTGTGTGGTGTGTATTAGCGATGATTCGTAGTCTTAGTTTATTGTATTAAGAGAAAGTTGGTTAAGATGACCTCATAGAAGGGCGTGATAGTGATAACTCCATTAGTGGGTGGTTTTTTGAGAGAGAGGTGGGGGAGAGGGAGAAATAGAGAGTGCAAAGAAAGGGAAAAAAGGAAGCGATATAGACCATATGAATAATTCAAGGCATATAGCATAACGATTTTTCTTGCGTATATAGTATCGGGAACTGCATATTTATGTGCGATTTGAGATAGTTATATATGCGTATATGATATATTTCTGCACCTATACTTCTTCACCACCAAAAAAATAATTGCTCGTAGAGTGGCGTCTTTGTCAATTGAGAATCAGATTTCCGATTATTTGATGTTTGCAGCTTTAAATCCGAACTAATTTTTGAGTTTCTGAATCTTTTTTGCTGGGGGGGGGGAGCAGTTGGGGAACAAATACTCGAAATCTAGCTACAACTGCCAAAGTTGGTGTTTGGATATTCAAAAGATGGATTTTTAGCCGATCACGTTTGTCCCTCGCTCTTATAAACAGCCCCATTCGCAGTAATTATGTATATATCACGTCAATAAACGTTTAATAATCAAATATGCACATGTTTAAAAAACAAGAAGAATTGTATATTTATGTTTACAATTAGGTCGCCTATTCCTACCTTTCCCTCTATTAATACTGATCTAAAACCAACCTGCGCCACGCCAGCTGAAGTTTTCTATAGATTTTCTATCATCATTCGTACCCCAATTATTGAAATGTGTAATAAAGCGTTTTATTATCGGTCATGAAATGTGGTTCCCAACTCTCGATACTAGATAATGGAATTTTGGAGAGAGAAAAAAACTCTCGTACTTTCTGATTTTTACAGAGCGAGATTTTTCTCTATACTCTTTCTCTTCAAATATATGAATTCGTATTGTGCGCGAGAGCCCGTTCTTCCCGCTGAGTTGGTATGACTCGCTTGCGATAATAATGTACTTACCCGTGTTTCGGATAGACTCAGTGCTGAGGACAGCTCAGCTACGTCCATACTGCTCAGGTAGTGAGCTGCTCGGAACTTCTCTTCTAGCGTGGCAACCTGTCCGGGAGAGAACGGGATGCGTGGATTTCGACCAAGCTTCCGTTTCTGCGGCCCTTCTTTGCGCTTCATTCCTGCAATGTATAATCAAGAGTTCGTTCGTTGCGTTCATATGTGTTTACTGTTCGCCTCATACGTGATTATACAATTTTCTAGCCATTTTGGCCGCTTTAATAAAATAGCACTTGAAGAGCAATCGCGTACATGGGGAGTACGCAGCGTAGTGCAGAGAGTCAGCATTCGCACCGACGTTAGGCATTTCTTTTGCAGTGAGGAGTTGTTTACCGCGGATAGGAGGGTTATTAGTGGTGCAATAAGATTTATTATACATTATTTTTATTTTTACTGATTTGTTGGAACCGCCAGTGATGTACGTTCTTAAGCGCGCCTCGGCCATTTTATACCCCATTTTTCTATGACCTGAATAACACAGCTATACTTTCCGATATCACTTATAAGCCAGTTCGTAGTTACGCACTGGAGCCCTATGACGTTATCGGGTCATAGGTCATTTGTACATAGCTGAAAAGCTGGATCGCTCGTACGCACTTGCCGTATACTACATAATAGCAGGAGTGAATAATAGTGATCTCTATTATTCACTCCTGATAACATTCATTTATGTTATACAGAAGCTGTGTAAAATCATGTGTGCGTTTGTTTTCTGTACTGAACCGATCGACTATCTGCCTGTGTTTTTTTTTAGATTTTTACGTATGATATTCATTTTGGGGTATTTTAGGTAGATGTGCAGTGTCGGTTCTTCTCGGCCATATCATTTATTTATGGATGTTTTTTTTTGTTTCCTGGATTTGTTAATTCGAATACAACAGAAATGCACACTCAGACATACATGTAACTTGCAAACCATATGTATTGATTCATGTTTATTGTTTAATGCACATTATTTAACTGCATGTATATGAACAAGGAGGAATGGTAGACCTCTAAATACATTGTACAAGCAATTAAAGCAATGAAAATGGGGAAATTGTGTACGTGCATACTTGTATGAAACCTGCAAATGTTACAATTGATAATGTAGCAAGTATAACAAAATAGCAATGAAATAAATGCGTTCCCATTTATTTTAGAGACAGCAGGGAATATAAACATGTATCATAATTTTCTTTACGGTACATGTGTACTTAAATGTAAATTGTAACCAATAGAATTATGAGTGGTGTCATGCAAAAGAGCCATCTAACAGCCCAAACCCAGTAATCGTTGTTTTTCCATGAATACCCCATTTACACAGATATCTATGAAAACCTTCAATCTGAGAACCATTTGATATTCATAATAATAATAACATGATAATATAATAAAACTCTACATACTATAACTATAAAACATAACTATAACATAAACATAAACATAAACCATAACTATGAAACATACTCATGATAATATAAAAAAAAAATATATATGTGTGACTCCTGGTTTCATGTGTAAATGGTATTTTCGCTGGCATTGTATTGACATATTTTGTACTCAAACTACTAATAACTGAAATAGTGTGCATTTAAACATTGCTATGTTTATTAATGAATGTTAATTAATTATTAAATGTTAGTTTCGTTTATTTAATAAATAATTGAAAAAGAGATGTAACTGTGTATGAATGATACAATGAGAAAATGGTGATTGAGACGCCAGATGTTTAGGATGACAATTGCAGAAACTTTGGTGAGGATGAAAAATAGCAAGGAAACCGTTCAATAAATGAATCAATGCATACCTACGAACTCGCTTATTAAATGGCTGCACGATGGTTTGTAAATAATAAAAAAAGATAATAAATTGTCAAATAAATTACGGGTGCTAAATATAAAATAACTTAGTCGTGTACATAACAATTGAGAATTATATAGTTATTTTCGATAAATAAAGTTCTTCGATAAGGCGATAGCGACGACGGTGAAGATGAAGAAGAAGGTGATGATGATGATACTGATGCTGCTGCTGCTGCTGATGATGATGATAATGACGATGATGATGATGATGATGATAACAATAATAATAATATTATTATTATTAATGTTAAACATAATAATAGTATTAATTATAAGTGGTATTAGTATTAGTAATAATAGTATAGAAACCCTCAATATTTTTTGTAGCCACAATAAATGACTTTTTCCGAGCGCTGTTTATACTATTGATACAATGGCGCCTGAATTTAAATGTTACTTAAAGCCCAAAAACACTTGATCACTCGGATACAACTAGGAAATGTACGACAATGTTTATAAGTGAAAATCCTTAGAGTATTTGCCGAACCATGCATTAGCATATTAACGCAATATTTATTGTGGGAATCTAGGCGTTACAACTACTACAACTTATTAGCGTTATCATCTGTAAAATTCCGAAAGCTGCAATCAAGAAATCTGATTACACTTGAGTGACGTCAGGTGAAAGCAAGCATGTCTCAGTAAACGTGCTGCTCTCGGAAATTATTGCGATATAGTATATATACTATTAGATATGTATCACTTCTTGCAGCTATTTCTAAGACAATTACTCAGTAAAGATATGTACTGGCCATGCTGTAGATTGTCATTCGAGAGTGGGAATTTGTAGTGTAGGCGAGGAAGGGAGCTTGTTATGCAGCCATGATAATGGGATAAACGCGCCATATCCCTTTATACTTTGTGCGTACACGTTAGTACTAATTATTAACACTAGAGGGGAGCAACAGACGTTGTCAGTAATATTATGAATACTAGCAATGGATACATCACACCCCTTCACGCCCCGGGAAAATGCAACATGGATTTCCACCAAAATGAGAAACGAGCTGAATTACTTCACCCCTGCAGCAACGCTAGGTCAACTCAACTAAAACACTCGAACTCTGGGAAAAACACCGTTGTAAGTGTAATTTTAGCCATAACTTTGAAACTATAATAAACTCCAACTTTGTCACAACTTCAACATTGCAGCTTTAACGTTACATTAACATTACACACACTCACATGACCGCTCTACAAGTCCAACTTCACTACTGGTTTGCGAGCCCTCTCCGAGCGACGCAAGTTACAAGTAACCTCGGTTGGAACCTGTGACCTAGTCTCCCTCGTGGAAGCAGAGACTGGTCTCGCGCGTCTCAGGCAACAACGTAGGCATCTGAGCGGCAGATGCATCATCCGAAAACCTAGAACGTTCACCCAAATCAATACCAGAATCATGAGAATCTGGCTTGACCTGTCTGAACACCTGATAATAGTGCTTCCTACCCAGCCTCCCGTCATCATCCCTAACCGTACAGGACACCGGCCCTGTCCTGTCTTCAACAGTCCCTGCATGGTAGGTTAGGCGGCCCGTACTTGGAGTAGTTCTTGAAGTACACATGATCTCCTTCAGTGAACCTTTGAGCCAGGTGATGCTCCTGAGCTTTAGTACCTTTGAAGATCTGGACTTGACTCTCCTGCATTATCTGAACACGTGAATTTACACTTGGAATCAGTCTCGACACGATTCTTCACTTCATCAGTAACTCGCAAGGCGGGACGCCACTAGTCGCATGAGGTGTTATGTGATAGTCGAACAGGAACCTGCACAACCGGTCATCCTGTGGTCCTTGCATTTTGTCAATTTTCTTCTTGAACGACTTAACGGCTCTTTCGGCTAAGCCGTTTGTCAGGTACGGCGGCGGTTGATACGGCGCTCCAGTAGCATGACGGTTACCGTTCCTAGGCAGAAATTCCTGGAACTCTGCACCCGTGAACGCAGCGGCATTATCAGACAATAGCTTGTCGGGCAACCTATGTATGCTAAAGATGCTCCTTAGCTTAGCAATCGTTATCGCGGCCGTGCACCCCTGAGTAATGAAAATCTCCATCCACTTACTGTACGCATCTACTACTACTAGGTATATATGACCTTCTTTGGACCAACATAGTCAATGTGTAGTCTAGACCAAGGCTTATTCGGGTACTCCCAAGGATGCAACGGTTGCTGATAAGCAGAGAACTTCCAAACTGACTGGCAAACTCGGCATGAACTCACACGACTCTCCAAGTCTCTGTCCATGTTTGGCCACCACATGTAACCTCTGGCCAGATTCTTCATCTTCATAATGCCGGGATGCGTATCGTGCTATTCTTCCGTCACAGCATCCCGACCTTGTGGAGGTATAACGACACTACTCCCCCACAATATGCAACCATACAAGACAGACAGTTCATCCTTCCTAGGGAAAAATGGTTTCATGTTCTCAGACTCAACAGAACTGTCCCAACCTTTGAGAACAAATGATCACACTCGAGCAAGGAGCGGATCACGATCCATCCACTTCCTGATGTCGTCAGCGCTAACCTGAGTATAATTCAGATGTTCTAACAGCATGACTTCTTCACCAACGCTAGGTGCGTCGACCTCCACCTTCATTGGGAAACGACTCGAACAGTCTGCATTCGCGATTTTCGCACCCAGTTTGTAGACTAACTCGTAATCGAACGCAGCTAACGTGAGTCTCCAGCGAATGAGGCGTCCTGAAGCCACTGTGGGAACAGCCTTGTTCTCCCCCAACAATCCAAGTAACGGCTTGTGGTCCGTACGGATCTCGAATTTCCGACCAAATAGGAATTTGGACAACTTTCCCACAGCCCACACTACTGCAAGTCCCTCTTTCTCAGTTTGTGAGTAATTCTTCTCGTCATTATTCTTAAGACATGATACGGGACGCATAGTATACGGGTAAACCACAATCGTGAAACTGTTCAAGCGCAGCACCCAGTCCGTAAAGGCTAGCATCAGTCGTGAGGACCAACGGCTTCGATGCGTCGTAGGGCATGACTAAGTTATTTGAAACAAGCAAGTCCTTAGCAGCCTTGAACGCGGCCTTCTTCTTGGGACCCCACTTCCAAGGTGTGTCCTTCTTCTCTAAACGATACAACGGCGACAGTACATCTGCGGCACGCGGCAAGAACCGATGGTAGTACTTGATCATTCCGATAAACGTAGACAGAGCCTGCTTATTATCAAGCGTAGGGAACGCATTGACTACCGCAACCTTGCTATCCAAGGGATGGACCCCCTCGGACGACAACTTATGACCAATCACGTT